GTGGGTACGACCTCGTACTTGTCTTGCTATATTACTAATTGCCCCGTACAATTGCGAGTTAACATAATAATTAACAACAAAGCCATACAGCACCATTGAGAAAAATAGTGGGTATCAGGGAGGGCACAAATAAAAGGACTCCCACGGAGGCAATCGGCAGGAACACTCCAAGAAAGGAAAGGGGAGGTTCGGCCGTAACGACCACCGTGCGCCATTGCCGAATCACGGCCAAGGGCAAGAAGTCTATACTCTGCTCAACGCCTCCTGCGAGGCTGTTCTAATGAACGAGCCCGAGATTATACCGAAGCCCACCAACCGGAAGCCCAATTGGCAGGACAACCGGGACACTGGAAAATTCTGCCGATACCACCAACACAACAGACACAACATGGAGGACTGCATCAGCCTACGAAAAATCGTTGAACGATTGATTCCGGAGGGCAAGCTCGATCAGTATGTCGCCAGGCCCCAACAGGCGCCTGCCCCGAATGCGAATCGGCAGATCAACATGATCAGCACTATTAGCGGAGGACCAACCTTGGCAAGCATATCCAATCGCTCGAGGAAACAGTACGTCAGGGCAGCTCAATATCCCCAGGTCCTTGGCATCGATAGCAGCCAGCATACAAAAATGCCGAAGGCACGATGGGAACCCATAACCTTCTACGACGAGGAGGAAGAGGGGATCCTCTACCCGCATGACGATCCAATGATTATCCAAGCCGAAATTGCAGAATTTGACTTTGGAAGGGTCTTGATCGATACAGGAAGTTCGGTAAACGTCATCTTTGCCGACGCATTCAGGGAATTGGGAATTGATGACAGCCAAATCAATCACCAATTGGCACCCCTACTTAGCTTTTCAGGGGATCTAGTCCAACCTATCGGTAGCGTCAGTCTACCCATCGCCTTCGGCGTTGCCCCATAGAGGACTATGGTGTACGACCAATTCCTCATAGTCGATTGCCCGACGGCGTACAACGTCATATTTGGCCAAACAGCACTCACAGGGATCAAGGCACACCTCTCCCCTCACATGCTGCTGATGAAATTTCCCACTTGCTGCGGCATGGGGATGATTAAAGGGGATCAACTTAGCGCACAAAACTGCTATGCAAAGGCAGTAAAATTTGTAGCACCCAAGAATGCTAGGGAAACCCTAGCGGTGGAAGGATTGCCGAACGGAAACGAGCTAATTGATGATCCCAGAGGCGAAGATCCAACCCCACAGGCCCAGCCCGCCGAGGATTTGGAAACCGTGGCCCTGGATGAGGGCCAGCCTGACTGATGTGTCAAGATCGGCACCACTCTGACTGTCGCCCTCCGAACCAAGTTCATACGATTTTTGCGAGAACATTCAGAGGTATTTGCTTGGTCTTACAGTGACATGCCGGGCATCTCGCCCAACATCATCAGCCACAAGCTCAGCATCTCTCCAGCATACAAACTCGTCTGACAAAAGCGACGGTCGTATGATGCCGAACGGTACGAAGCCATGAAGACCGAAGTGGACAAGCTAACCAACATCGGCTTCATTCGGGAGGCTACATACCCTGTATGGCTGGCCAACTCTGTTATGGTTCGAAAGTCGAAAGGAGGGTGGCGAATGTGCCAAGACTACACCGATTTAAATAAGGCATGTCTGAAGGATAGCTTCCCGTTGAAAAGAATTGACCAGTTAGTCGACGCCACTGCCGATCACGAATTGCTGAGCTTCATGGATGCCTACTCAGGATACAACCAAATCTTCATGCATCCTGCCGACAGCGAGCATACGACATTCATCACGGACAGAGGCTTGTACTGCTACAACGTCATGCCGTTCGGTCTAAAGAACGCGGGGGCAACATATCAACGGCTGGTCAACCGAATCTTCGCCAAGCATATCGGCAGTACAATGGAGGTTTATGTCGATGACATGCTGGTGAAGAGTAGGACAGCAGGGGAGCATCTAAACAACTTATCTCTCATGTTCGGCATCTTGAAGGAATACCGAATGCGGTTGAATCCAACGAAGTGCGCTTTCGACATATCCTCTGGGAAATTCCTCGGCTTTATGATCAGCCAAAGAGGAATCGAGGCAAATCCAGAAAAGATAAAAGCCTTGATAGACATGGAAGTGTCGAGGACGCATAAGGATATTCAGAGCCTTACCAGACGAGTCACAGCTCTAACGCGATTCACACTACAAAGAAAAACCCTTTCGGCGACCACCATCATTGGTCAATAAAAGCTAATATTTCGTCGCCAAAAACCTTTAGCAACGAAATAATTTCGTCGCTAGATTTGTCGCCCAAAACTCGTGGCTGAAAGTAAAAATGACAAAAGGCAACGAAAAACACTTTCGCGACCAATTGGTTTCGTCGCCTTAAAGTAAACAGTTGGTCGCCTATAAAGACAGGTTCCCGCGAAAATACCAAAATTTGCCGCAAACTATGGAAGGATTGGGTGACCAAAGAGATTGGTTCATCGCTGATAGTTTCTGGTGACTACGAGATTTTGGTCGCTAAAGCTTACTTAGTTGGTCACTAAAGTATGTATATTTTAAGCATTTTTAATAATTTTATTTATATTCTGTTTTTTGATAACCTTTTGTTCATTAACATATTGTAATTTCGAAAAACAATAAATTTAGATAAATAGATCAATAGAAAATTACATGAATAAAAATTTCTCCCATTCCAAAGTACACAAGCATACTAGTCATTCAAGTACACATAACATATCCAAAAATAGTAGACATAACATAACCGAGTGAAGAACTCTCCATTGAAAGACTGGAGGCCAAGCCCCATATATTCTTGCCCTTTGTAAACCCAAGTTCTGCAATCATTATTTCTCCACTCTATGCCCTTTGTATCCCCAAGTTTTGTAGTCATGATCTTTAACACTTGTGGTATAGGGGCTGTGATCTAATATCGAGGAATTCCCAAACACTGCCAATTGTTTGCTTGACCTTCTCAAACTCATCAATCATCTTCCTTTACAAAAGAAACAAAATAAGGAAATGTCAATGGTCAAGAAGATGCCAAAACCAAGAAATTTAAAATTTTTAATATATATATATATATATATACCAAAGCTGAAATTCACAATCTTAACTAAATAAGCCAACAAAAAAGAGTTTGGATTGACATAAGAAAACTGATTACTGGTCATCAACGAACCAACTTAAAAAAATTTGAATTCATTTTTCATACCTCTCAATATCGACTGTCTAATCATACCTTTGCGATAATAACATAAATCAAATCATCAATTACCAAAAATAAAGAAGGAAAACAGTTACGAAAAACCAATGTAAAGACTAATATTATGCATGGTACAAACCCATTAGAAAACATGAATCATAAAATCCAAAGTATAATCCACACCTTAAATGGAACCGAGTGTAATGAGAAGAAGAGGTTCTTACCTCATATGGTCCTCTGTCCAAAACCCCAAACCAAATCCATCCACCTCCTCAAATAAATCTGACATGGAAAAACATGATACTACCCCAGTAAAGTAAAGACTCCTAAATGACATTGTTCTAAACACATTATAAGATAAAGAGAACTGAAGGGTAGATGGTCTGGGGTCAGAGAGTGGAAAATAACTCAAGCCATCAGCAATCTTTGGGGAAAGAGAGTGGGTATGCTTATATGAGTACATAGAGTTTATAGACCTTTCTCTCACAAAGGAAGCATCCTATATTCTATTCAATCTGTTTAGTGAACTAACAACAATAACAACAATAGTGCAGAAGTCCTTGGCAGAGCTATGCAGGTATTTTGGTTTAGGACCAGCTTTAATTTATAATATGATTCTTTCTAGTGTTAAAAATTAATAAAAAGACAAGGACAATGATATATCTAATTGCTCAAACAGAAAAATTATGCTGTGGACCAAACGGGCAGCAGCAAAGGTAAAATGAAAACAAGCTGCAATACCCAAGCACCTTAAGACTTAATTGCACTTCCTACAAAGAAAGAACTCTAACTCACCTGCAATGCCAATGCCATATCATTTGAAAGTTAAAGCACAAAACACTACCTTATCAATCTAAATCACTATAATCATTACTGTGATTACTAGATTGCCATCATTTTGTAATCAATCACAACCTAAACTGGAAGACCTCAGTGCCTAACAAGATTTCTTCTTCTTATTATAGTTCATCTTGCACATTTACAAACACATAAATAGGAGCACCATACTACGCTGAAATAAAGAGAAAGATCAACCTTGTTTATCTTCAACTACACATTGTTTAGCTAAAAGTTTCAATTGGATAATGGGAACAAATTTTTAAGCACAAATGAGGTATACCTCTTTTCGTTAATGAATATAACTCCCAATTTCTTAAAAATCAGTTTAGAAATCACTCTCCTTCACTCCCTTTTCCAAATCAATATCCAAGAAATTAATATAGGTATTTGCAGTCATCAAATAAGTTCATGTGTATAACAGATTCCCAGAAACTTATTGCTTCAAATGAGAATTTGGTTTGGTTTTAAAAAGCAGAAAGCAATTCCTTATAGCTAAATCTTCTAGCCAAATCAAAATGGCTACTGCTACATCAAACCAGAGAAAAAGAGAAAATCCAAATCAAATAGGCAATGTATGTTTTTAAATAGCTCCTCAACCTGATTACCAATTCACAATCTCCATTAGACAAAAATGAGAGTAAAATTTCATCTAAGATGTTTGAAAATCAGATACAAAAGTCCAACTTCAAAATCCTAGTCATGTTAGACCCACTCTTTTCTTAGGCATTTTCCTACAAGCAGGAAACCAAAAAACATAAATGTCCAACTTCAAAATCCTAGTCATGTTAGAAAAACTCAACCAAAGGACATGTGTATAATGTATAACAGCAACCTTTAGAATACTCGCTTCTTCTCGGTTGAAATTTAAACATTGCCAAAAAGATCTTTTAAAATGGAAACGGGGGAATACAAAATTACATCAATAACATGTAGTTATTCACAGTATATAACCAAATATCTCTTGCAGACTAGAGACCTTATCAATTTAAGTGAATTCATTGAAGTCCTCCAATATATGAAAAGAGAAGGGAAAAAATTTATAATGCAGGGCCTTTAAAAATTAAGTTCCAAAAGAAAATGAGCCAAACAAGAATTTTGAAAAGGCACAAGAAATAAATAAAATTGTGGCACAATTTTTTTTTTCTAATAAAGAGAGGGAAAACAAAGGATGCTCAAACCTGCCATCTGCAACAATAGATTCACAGCCTAGCGTTGGTCTCTTGGTTGTCTGAAGGGGGCTTCAAGTCTTTAATAGCTACAATTATCCATAATGGAAAATTCTCAAATGGCAGTGCTAAATCAAGGTTGCTAATCTTTTATTTCTTCTCACAGTTTACATAAATGAAATATAAAAAGACCTTAAGATTTAAGTTCTCGAATGAAGGCTTAACAACGAAATCTGAAAAATGATGAATCATTGCAAGATCCAGCAAATAAACAAAACATCAAGGCTTAACAACGAAATCTGAAAAATGATGAATCATTGCAAGATCCAGCAAATAAACAAAACATCAATTACAAGACACCACCAGGCAACGCAAGCACAAGAAATCTTTATAATAAATAAAAATAAGGTAAATCTTAACATTTCCATGATTCCAAACTCGTAACTCAAAATATTTAGAGAAGTTTTCATACCTAACATAGAGGCAGCAGATGAGGAGTGGTTGAGGGGTCGTCGACCGCCTCGTTACTAAGACAAAAACCAACTAAATTTTATTTTTACAGAATCAAAATCAAATAATTACAGAAAAAAGCTAAATAAACAAAAATTAATAAAAACACCTTTGAATCAGAGTTGGTATGTGGCTGAGCACATTGCAGAGAAGGATGATTTTGGGAAAGAGAGTGAGAAATAAGGGCCATGAGAAATCTGAAGGGGGATGAAGAGATAGTGGGTATATAAGTGATTGGCCGACATCGTTGGAAGATTTCATTGCTAGCGTCTGTGGAGGACTGAGTTGAAGGCATCGGTGGTGTGGAAGACGGAGAGAGTAGATACGAGAGAACTAAAATTAGGGGAAGTAACGGATTAGGGAAATTTTTTTCATTTATTTTCTCCCAGAATCAGCCACCAAGCTATTTGGTTGCGAACATGTCAAATAAGGAAACGACACAGTTTTAATACTTTATATTCTTTTTTACGGGAATTGCGACCAAAAGAATTGGTCGCCAAGTTTCAAGAAATATTAGGCGGCATCTCACAAAATATTTTCGCAGCATCTCAAATTTAGAGACGACGCAAGCAACCTTAGAGACAACATAATTTGGTCGCCAATAATTTTCAAGCTCAAAGGCGACCAATCTTGTAATTGGTCGCCAATTCCTCCCCTAGCGACCATATCTTTTGGTCGCCATTCGGACATATTTTCTTGTCAATTCGTTGATAAATTTGACGAAATTATTGGCGACGAAATAAAAAACTTCGTCTCCCATAACCTTACTTGGCGACCAAATTTGGGTTGGTCGCAAAATATTTCGTTGCGAAAAAGGTTTTTTCTTGTACTGTCATCTCCAAGGCAACTGATAGGTGTGCACCGCTCTTCAAAGCCTTGAAAGGGGGCAAACATCTTATCACTTGGACTGCCGAATGTGACAAAGCATTTCAAGACCTGAAGAACTACATGAGCAGGGCACCACTATTGTCAAAACCTCTTCCTGGAGAAATCCTGTACCTGTATGTCTCGGTATCACCCACTGCCGTCAGCTCAGTGTTGATATGGAAGCTAGAGAAGATGGAGTTACCGATCTTTTATGTCACCAAAGCCCTGCAGAGCACAGAACTTGGGTACCCCCCACTCGAACAATTGTCCCTAGCTCTGGTCACATCTGCACGGAGACTTCGACCCTATTTTCAGGCTCACACTATCACCATCTTGACAAACCAGCCTCTTCGGCAGGTATTCCAAAAACCTGAAACGTCAGGCAGATTGGTCAAATGGGCCATCAAATTAGGGGAGTTTGACATACAGTTCAAGCCCAGACCCGCCAAGAAAGGTCAAGCCGTGGCAGACTTCATCTCCGAATTAACGCCTTCGGCGACATCAGAATCAAAGGATGATCCACCCTAGGTAAGCCTACCGAGCGCCAAATGCTTTGATCCGTCAATTCCCGTGTGGATCCTGCACGTGGATGGCTCAACAAACCAACAAGGGTGCGGAGCTAGCCTGGTACTTATCGCTCCCGATGAGACAAAGATGGAGAATGCCCTCCGATTCAGCTTCCGAACGTCTAACAACGAAGCAAAATACGAAGCCCTCTTAGCCGGCCTTCGACTAGTAAAGAATATGGGAGCCAGGCTGGTCAGCATCCACAGTGACTCCCAACTCATCGTAAATCAAGTACCTGCCGATTTCGCGGCCAAAGATGTATCTATGTCAGCCTACATGTCATCGGCGCATTAATTGCTTCAAAAGTTTTTAGCCTACGAAATTCGGCAAGTACCCAGATAAGAAAACAGCCATGCCGACGCGTTAGCCAGACTGGCTTCGGCAATCAACGATAAAATCGGCCAAAAGGTTCCTTTTGAGATCTTGGCTCAACCAAGTACTGCATCGGTAGACGTATGTACCATACGGTATGAGGATACGTGGATGTCACCACTATACGCCTACTTAACAAACGGTATCCTCCCAGATGACAAAGCCCAAGCGAGGAAAATACGATACCGATCGGCAAGATACACAGTCATCAACGGCATCCTGTACAGACGTGGCTATACGACCCCCTACCTAAAATGCATCACCACCGAACAGGGGGACTACGTCCTGACGGAAATTCACAGTGGCGTCTGTGGCAACCACTCGGGTTCCCTATCATTAGCACACAAAGCCTTTCGGCAAGGGTACTATTGGCCAACCATGCATTGGGATGCGATTGAGATGGTGAAAAAATGCGACAAGTGCCAAAGATTTGGCAGTGTACCACACATCTCCGCCGAGCCACTTACATCGATCATAAGCCCTTGGCCGTTCGCCCAATGGGGACTTGATTTGATCGGCCCCATGACGCAGGGCAAAGGGCAAGTCAAGTACGCTGTCGTAGCTGTGGACTACTTCACGAAATGGGTGGAAGCCGAGGCTCTAGCCACCATTACGGCAGCAAGGATTTAGGATTTTGTCTAGACCCATATTTGTTGCCAATTCGGTATCCCTTAAGCCATCATCACTGATAACGGTAGGCAGTTTGATTCGAAACTCTTCAGACAATTCTGTATTCGCCTAAAGATCAACCTATTCTTCGCCTCCCCAGCTCATCTCCAGTCGAATGGTCAGGTCGAAGCAATCAACAAAATCATCAAGAAGCTACTAAAACAGCAACTCGACCATGCCAAGGGTGCATGGCCAGAAAAGCTTCCCGAAGCCCTTTGGACCATCCAAACATCCTACCGAACCTCTACCGGCGAAACTCCGTTCTCTCTCACCTTCGGATCAGAAGCCATCGTGCCCGTAGAGATCGGCGAGCCATCCTACTGAACGGAAAGTTTCTCTCCTGGGACGAACGAGGTCGCACTTGCCTTGAACCTTGATCTATTCGAGGAACGCCGAGCGCAAGCTAACTTTCGGAATGAAGCATACAAGCAATGCGTCTCTTGGTACTACGACTCAAGGGTCAGGCCCCGCTCCTTCAGAATCGGAGACTGGGTCATGCGCAAAGTCTCGCTTGTGACCAAAAATCCACACTTGGTAAACAAATTCGAAATTTAAAGGACTTTGTTAGCCCTCGGCAACAATGAGAAAGATCGGACAAACGACAAACTAGAGTAAGAAAACAAAAGGTGCAAACTCCGAAGCTGGAATTAACTTGAAAAAAGGTGCCCTCGGCATCAAGATGTTCAGAGCGCGTTGCCGTATGGCAAGTACAAAATGAAAGCAAAGTTACAAAAGTAAAAGCTTATGAACAAATCTAAATGGCAGCCTCGCCGTCGGCAACCCCCGGACCATTATCAGCATCGGCCTCGCCTTGACCTTGGGCAGCCGCGGTGCCAGGAGCCTCAGGGGCGATGGTATCCTCGAGAGCATCCTCCCCCTCGTATTCTTCAATCATTTCTTCTGTAATGCCCTCCGGCAAGGGTGGAGGATCGGCAACAAAGTTGAGGTTCAGTTTCTGCCCTGGATTGAACTGTTTGAAACGGTAGAGGAGATCCGCCATCTCCGAGCCCACTTCATTGTCCAGTAGGGCAGTGAACTCTTTAGACGAACGGTAGCTCCTGACCCCCTCACGGACGGTAGCCTCGATTTCAGCAGCCTTTTCCAGCTCGGATTCCTCCAAGGCCGCCTGCACAGCCCCCTTTGCCGTCTCGGCATCCTTTGCCACCGTCACCGCAGCTTCCAGAGCCGCCCTCATTTCAGCAAGATTGGCCTCGGAAGCCTTGACCTACCGTTCGGCGGCCTGTTTGTCCTTCAGGAGATGAGCGTGATCCTGGAAAGCCTTGCCTACCTCGGCAACTTTGGCACTGCCATCTTCATAAGCCTCTTTGGCGCGCTCGGCCGACGAGATGTCCCGCTTCATGCACAGCCACATATCCATGGAAACCTGAAATAGAGCCACAAGTGAGCATAAATGTAAGAGCTAACGACAACCGTAATATAGATGGAGGAAACTTACAGAAGCTTGAAGGCGGAAGGCGCGTCCAGCTTCCTCCGGAAAAAGCCTCCTCGGGAGCTCATTGATCTCCGCCAATTCCATTTGCGAACCAAGCGATATTGATCAGCTCGGTAGAGCCCTCGTCATCCTTGACTGCGTTTAGATACGGTATCGACCTCTAAGTCGACCGTCATTGGCCGTTTCCCAACAGCCTTTGAAGGAGCTGCCTTAGCGCCTTGCTCGCGTCTGGGGACGGAGTCAGCATTCGGCGCTCGCTTGACAGTGGTCTCGGCACCCAGCTCCCTAAGCCGATCGTCAAGGGTCTGATCCTTCGGATCAGCCGCCGCTGCCTATGCCGAGTCCGCCTCCGGATGCCGCTTCTGTTTCTTCCTCTTTAATCCCATCAGGAGGCATCTTTTGGAAGATTCAGTCATCTTCTTGGCCTCAGCAGACTTCCTGGCATCAGTCACTATACTGAGAGAATAGGATCGGTAAGCTTACAAGGAATTCATCGAATAAACTTACAAGGACAAGTGAAGTACACTTACTCTCGACAGGGCTAACAAGACGGGCCTTGATGAGATTTTCCGTGAAAAGGAACTGTGGGTATGTCCTGTCAACGACAGGAAGCTTAAGCTTCACTCTGTCAATCTGCCGAATCTCAGATTGAGTAGGGATCGGCTGCTTCAGTTTGCCTGCAAAACAAAAAAAAAAAGATTTAACAACCTCACCAAAAGGCATATTGATGACCTACCGATCGGCATGTTGATGACCTACCGGCTATTTGGAATTTTGTGGGAATATGGAAATGGACGGGCATCCCTGAAGGCGATTCCCAATCACCGGATAGCAACACCCGCCGATTCCTCCAAGACTTTTGAGAAGTCAGCACGACACTGACAAAATGCCCCCGTTCGGAAGGCCTAAGACAGTTGGCCTGAACCCAACCTCCATGATCGGTACTCTTGGATTTGGTGACGCTATACAGGTGGGAAAATTGCTCGTAAGAAGGCTCCCCTTCCTCGGCAATGCGGAATGCTGTAACTGTTAAGCTCATAATTTCATACATATACATGCCCTATTTACTTACTTCTTTTGCTTAGTTTCCTAGATTTCTAAGTGATTTGCCTCCCTTTGTGTGTTTTGTAGGCCAATAGAGCAAGAGAGCATAATTCATGCAATTCAAGCATGTTAAGGCCTAATTTGGATGAAGGGAAGAAGAGCTTAATGACAAACTCATTTTGGCTATAGCCCCCTGCCAGTCCAGTTCCGTAGGTCACATTGCAAGCTTTGTTTCAGCAACCTACACAGCTCGGATGAGGCATCATTCTTCATGAAAGTTGTTCCAATGGGTGTGTACTATAACATATCCAAAATTCAGCCCCATTGGATAAATATGAAGTCTGTTACCTAGCAAACACAGAGCCATGCTCAGGATGGATTTTATCAGCGCGCAAAATGAGTTAGCAATTTGTTTTG